GACCTTACTTGGTAGCTCTGTGTAGATGATCATTAGATAGCACTCTCATCTTTGGAATAATCAGGTTTCTGACTATAAGAGCTGTACAAGATTTCTATTTCCTGACCAGGCATGATGGCTCACGCCTATAATCCCAGCACTTTGGGAGGTCGAGGAGGGTGGATCACTTGAGGTCAGGAGTTTTGAGACCAGCCTGGCCAACATGGTACAACCTCATCTCTACTAAAAATACAAAATTAGCTAGGCATGGTGGCACCTGTAATTCAGCTACTCGCCTTTAAGCCCAGGAAGCTAAGGTCAGAGCACTGCTTGACCCCCGGAGGTGAAGGTTGCAGTGAGCTGAGATTCACCATTGCATTACAGCCTGGGCAACAAGTGAGACTCTGTCTCAAGAAAAAAAAAAAAATTCTATTTCCTTTATCATATCAGACGTTGTCTATAGTTTGCTGTAAAAAAAAGTATGTGAACTGCCATTTCTGCTAGCCAAATGATGCCCACTGTTATTAATTTTTATAAGACATATGGTATTCATATTACTGGAGGAAAAGCAAGCCATTTTTACCGAATTCATTCAATAGAATCAAAAACTTTTTTTTAACCCTACACAGAAAATCTGGAGTCCCCAAATCTTTTGCAATCCTTAATTTCTCCGATAGGAGAGCTTCAGACTAGCAACATTTCATACTGCCAAATCTTATATTAAAATGTTCTGTTTATATATAAGAATGAGCAAAGCTATTGAAGAAGTTCATACAATTTAAGAATCAAATCTAACAACTTCATTAAAAACCCTCATTGCAATTAGCAAGTTTTCATTTACATTTTTTTGGATTCTTTTTAAAAGAAATAAAAAGACGCAAGAGCAAATTATTGTCTTTTGCAACAATACTCTCAATTTTGTACAGCAGAATAATTTTTGAATATTTATGAAAATCATCCAAATTTCTCACATTAAGAATTAAGGAAAAAAAGGTGGCATATATATGCTAATGAAATATTCAATAACTATTTGAATATTTATACTTGGTACTATTTTTCTCTGATAACAAATAACTGGGCAACTCAAGTTAGACTGATCTTACAAATGCAGGCCAACAGATTCTGCAATTCTCCTTTATTACCTATATTTCTATTTTTTAAAAAATCTGAATCAACCCATTTAATTCTTTCAACTACAACATGAAGAAATAAAACGAAGCCCTGAGCTACATTTAATCATTTAATTGTTAAGTGGCCATACACCTGCAAAAGAAAAAAACCAATCAATATTTCCATATAATTCTATCACCATGTTAAACTTTAAAAAATAACTTGGTCAGGAAGGAAGCTATAAATCAACTTTATTTCCTGGGTGTTTAGATCACACACACAAATATACACATACATATATATACACATAAGTCAACAGCTCCACATTTCCCTTATTGCCATCCTGAGGTTTACTGAATATGACATTAAAGAGTTTCTCAAATGTCCATAGGTCTAAGAACTTATTTCATTTTTAGAAAATATCCTGGTACAGAAACCAGACTATATAGAAACAAATCTACATGAATACTAAATAATCAATAGCTAGGAAAAACACTTAATTTAATGCTAACCAATTTGTCAACATGACTTGTTTAAAAAAGTTACTGTTTCAGCAAGTTATTTATTAAAATAGTTTAAAAATTAAAAAGCTTTGTGTATTAAAACCATGCCTTCTGAATCACAAGGCTATACACGTGTACAAAGGGAATGTTTTAATATGAACGGGACACCAGCCTGGAAGTCTGGCTTGCTTGCAATTGACTCTAGATCAAGAATTCTTTAAGCCTAAAGTCAAACAAGGGAAACTCACAAATCACAGGAAAAAGCCCAGTCATCTTGAAAAATTCTAAACCCTCAGTTAAATGTCATAACTTTTTTATGAACACTAAGTCACAGTGGGCCAATGAGAAACTAACGGAAATCCTTAAAACTGACTACAGTCTGGGTTAGCAAGAGACAATCATATAATAGGTACAATTTAATGAAACTGTTTGTGTTAGGAGTTTGAAGTTTCCAGGAAACTAGCTCCTGAGTTATCTCAAAACCAAAACCAAAAAATCAATTAGTATGAAGTGGCCTCTTCATCTTTTCCTTTAAAGCACCATTAAAAAGTGGCCGAAAGAAACCTTTGCATATGTTTTGAAGTCATATACAAAGCTGAGAATTAAAAACTAGCTCTGTTCAAGTCTGCATCAAATATCATTTTGAATTCCACGGATCTGTGATGGCATGAGAATGGGTATGCAATAAGAGGTGGAGGTCTGTAGGGCGGGGAATACGGAAAGAATGTCAGCAGCTGGGCAAGAGAACCTTAAAATGGACTCTTAAGAAAAACAGACTTCAGGAATGATATAATACACTTTTCTTCTCTAAAATAAGTCAAATCTCGTAACGTTGCTTTCAAATTTTGTTGTATAGCAACTCCATCCTTTGTTGTTTTTCTTATTTGATTAGAACCATCTGGGAGATCCTCCTTTCTTTTACTAGTTCTATAGAATACATGCAGTTAATCATCTTAAAAAAACTTTTAATATATAATAACAATTGGAGATTTTATTAACGATCGAATTTTCATATACGCAGAGAAAGCATCATCTATCATGTAACCTAGAAAGTCGGTTCTTTATAAAGGAAAGAATTTGGGGAAAAAAATTATAAAAGAAAAACTGCTCACACCCACATACTAGTTTTAAAATTGTTTTCTTTCCAATTAAAAAAATACTAAAAAGTTGTAGCTCTACAACTACAAAGTGGAAATAAATAAAAAAGAAAACTCACTGCAATAAAGGCAATGAAATAATTAAATAATTTTATGTTAAGCTTCCCATGCTTATTTATTCATTTGTATTCAAAGTATCCTTTTAAGTTAACTGTTTGAAATTTTCCTGGGTTCACCTATAATTTATGAATACTTTACTATAAAGTATGATTTCTCTTTGCATTATTTAATCAGGATAAAGTATGGTATTGATAAACACAAGATATTAAAAATCAATTATACTTATTCCTAATCCAGGAATAAATGAAAACCAAAATCAAATTAACTCATAGACTTTATTACTTCCTTTCCTCTTTGTTACTGCTGTTTATATAGCTGTAGCATTACTACTTTCATACTAGAAAATGTTTGTTTCTCCTGCTTGGATTTTTTCATAAATCTCTGAATGCTCACTTTCTCACACAACAGTACTTCATCGAAGGATGTAATTAGTCCCACTAAAGCAAGAACACATGATAAACTTTTGGATGAGAATTAGAGTCACTTAGTCTAGCCCAGCTGCATGACCAATTCAATCTGGTCATGTATACAATGAAAAGAATAATATTTAACCCACAGGAGTACGGTGATGAGGCTCACATGAGATTAACGTATGTAAAAGAGCTTTGAAATGTTTACAGTGCCATACAAATGTGAGGGTCTCAGTCTCTTCCTCTGTCATATGGGAGGATTCAATACAGTGATCTCTAAAGGCTTAACTTGAAACTAAAAATTCCTAGCTAGTCACATGTGAAGCACATTTTAAAAATCTACTGATATAATTGTATTGTTGTAAGGGACTTAGGGAATAATGAAGTCAACCTTCTTATCTTACAAAATGTGTGAAAACAGGTTAAGATACTTGTGGAGCACAGGAGTCAGTAGCAAAGTTGGGAATTGAAAGGACGCAGATCTGAGCCCCACCTCAAAGTCCTTTCTGTCATATGTTGCTGTTCACAATTCTGTGAATTTAAAATCTCATAGGGTCATGTATAAATATTATTTTGGTGAGATGATTTAACTGCTAATAGTGGAATTCAGAATGTTTACAAATGACGCTTAATAGCAAAAGCAGCTCAGACTAAACTGTCCAGCTATTCGTTTGGTTTGTGTGGTATTAAATTTTAAGTTGGCCAGGTGCAGCAGCTCATGCCTGTAATCCCAGCACTTTGGGAGGCTGAGGTGGGCGGATCACAAGGTCAGGAGATCGAGACCATCCTGGCTAAGAGGATGAAACCCTGTCCCTACTAAAATTAAAAAAAAAAAAACCCTAAAATATTAGTCAGGTGTGGTGGCACACGCCTGTAGTCCTGGGGAGGCTGAGGCAGGAGAATCGCTTGAACCCAGGAGGTGAAGGTTGCAGTGAGCCAAGATCGCACCACTGCATTCCAGCCTAGGGAACAGAGCGAGACTCCATCTGAAAATACATAAATAAATAAAATTTAAATCAACAGACATGATGTAAACCCTATCTAACCTCTCCCAATACATGGTTTTGAATCTGCTTTTGGTACTTACTAGCTATGTGATCTTGGGCAATTTACTTATTTCTTTGTTTTAAAGATGAGGGATAACACCAAGTATGTTAGTTACCTGGCTGTCATAAATTAAATAAGTTAGTTCATATTAAGTCCTTACAACAATGTCTAGTACATAGTAAGTGCTTACAAATGCTAGTCCCCGTCTCTAATCTTCCAAACTTTTGAGGAATAGAGAACACTCTCCCCGTTTTTACTTCATCAGAAAGTAAATGAAATAAATTCGTTAAATGAAAGTAAATTCCTTAAATGAAATACATATGATCTCCATCCTCTACTTCAGTAATCAGCAGTTGCATAACAACTAAACCTAAATAAAACAGGGAATATTGTGATATAATGGAAGGCAAATATGATTTGGATTCAACAGATATGAGTCTGAATCCCACCTTAATTCTTTAAGAGCTTCTGACCTCAAGCAATTTACCAAAACTCACAAAACTTTTCAGGTTAAAATGAGATTGCGATCTAGCTTTTTATCATTTTGTCTTTCATATTAACAGTTAAGTTGCAAATAGTTTGAAAAGGGCATGTCTTATTCATCTTTGTCTTCTCCATACTACTATGGCAAGGTTTAAAATTATTGGATTTTTGCTGGAATAAGACAGGAGATTAATAAAAGCGATTCAAGACTTGAATAAACATGTTACATTATGGAAAGAAAAAGTACAAACCTGGTTTAACTGGCTCCAACTCTGAGCATTATGTCATTGCTTTCTTTTCTTTCCTTACAAATGGATCTCCAGTATCCTTTTCCTATTAGAAGATGCAAAGTAGAGAAGATATATTAACGAAGGGCATTTGAATCATTCTTTAAAACTAAGCATTCTTTAATTCACTATAAGGCAGAATCAAACTCTTATTATTCTATTTGATGAACCTGTTTTTAAGCTATAAAATAACTAAGAGGTGTTTTAATTGGTTAATACAGCAGAAACATTATAGGCTTACGTAGCCAAAAAGTAAACATATATTGCATTAAAATAAATTTGTTCATTACTTCAAAAAATTACTTTTCAAATAATAGCAATACCTCTGTTAAAGATAACTTCATTCAGGAGTTGCATGAAGCAGTGTAGTTTATTATAATACATTATACAAAAATACTTCTGGTTCCTTAACCTTTTGGGTACAAGATGAGTGGTGAGTTATATAAAACTCTGATAATCCAAAAGAAGCTATAAATTTTATCCTCATAAATACATATATACATGTCTGTGTCTTGCATATAATTTTAGTTGAGTCACGAAACCCAGTCATGTACCCTGTGGATCTCTAAAACCTGTTGGTAGACTGAAGGTAATCTCTCCTGAGTTTTTAAAAACAGACTTGTAGAATTTAAAAACTTTTAAGCATTTTAGGAATCATCTAATGCACACTGCTAGAAGAAAAATCAAGAAATAGTGATCCAGAGAGATGAAAAAGATTAAATAAGGCCACACTGTACTCAAGAAGAGAGAGATGTTCAACTACCATATTAATCCACATAAGACTGATTATGCAAAATTTAGTGTAAATCAGTGCCTTCGAGTCAGAGTAATTCTCACAATAAAACCAGAATAGGAGACTTCACAGTGCCTAGTACATAGAAGCTCATGAAATGATATGAATTAAAAAATATTTGTCTATTTGATAAAATATAAAAACACAATTTCCAAGTAAATGAAATATTTTCCAGCTGGACAAAATAAGTGGCAAACTTAAACATTTATTATGTACTATATAACGTTATATAATACCCTACTATTCAAGGATGCTTAGTTTTAAAAAGTGATTCAAGGCTGGGTGTGGTGGCTCAAGCCTGTAATCCCAGCACTTTGGGAGGCCGAGGAGGAAGGATCATGAGTTCAAGAGATCAAGACCATCCTGGCCAACATGGTGAAACCCCGTATCTACTAAAAATACAAAAATTAGCTGGGCGTGGTGGTGTGCACCTGTAGTCCCAGCTACTTGGGAGGCTGAGGCAGGAGAATCACTTGAACTGGGAGGTGGAAGTTGCAGTGAGCCAAGATCGTGCCGCTGCACTCCAGCCTGGTGCCTGTCAACAGAGTGAGACTCTGTCTCAAAAAAAAAAAAAAAAAAGGCAATTCAAAAAGGATAAATTTGTCCTTCTTTTAAGAGTAATTAGGCAAAGACATAGAGCTTTTTCCTTCCCAGTTTTCTTTTTGCATTGCTCTTTTTCCCTTTCCTCCTAGGGTTCAGTGTTTTGCCCACTTCACACTCTACTCACATTTTCTGTATTCCTCTCAGGACTGGGAGGAACAGAAATGAATACCCTGAATCCTGGCCTTTCACCTGAGCCTCTGACTCCTATATCCAGTTGTTTGTTGGAAGTTTCCAATTGAAGGTACTGTAGACAAAAACTCAGAATATCCAGGCCGGGCGCGGTGGCTCAAGCCTGTAATCCCAGCACTTTGGGAGGCCGAGGTGGGTGGATCACGAGGTCAAGAGATCGAGACCATCCTGGTCAACATGGTGAAACCCCGTCTCTACTAAAAATACAAAAAATTAGCTGGGCATGGTGGCACGTGCCTGTAGTCCCAGCTGCTAGGGAGGCTGAGGCAGGAGAATTGCCTGAACCCGGGAGGTTGCGGTGAGCCGAGATCGCGCCATTGCACTCCAGCCTGGGTAACAAGAGTGAAACTCTGTCTCAAAAAAAAAAACAAAAAAACAAAAAAAACTCAGAATATCCAAAACTGTTCATCTTTTCCTAAAATCTGTTCCTTTTTAAAAGTCCCTGTCATCGCAGAACAACAGCCCCTTAACTTCTCAAGCCAAAAGCCTGGCAGTAATCTCACATTTTACCAGTCATCTTCAATTCTTATTGATTTCTACTTTAAACACTTTCCAAGTCTATTTCTTCAACTTCATCCAAGTTATCTCTCAATATGACCAAATGAGGAAACTAACTCATCTTCCCATCTCTACTCTTAACCTACCTCAAATTTATTTACATACTTTTGCCAACGTAATTGGTTTAAAATAAAAATTTTGTTACATCAAGCACTATCATATATCAAACCCTCATTATGTCAAAGTCTTCAATAGCAACCCAGCACTAACAGAATAAAGTCCCTTATTCAAAGAATAAATGTCTAAGCATGACATATGAAGTCCTCATCTCTATCTCTTCAGCTTGATTTCCTATCCCCCACTTTATTGCTCGACAGCCATACTGAACTATTTGTCAATCCCATGTATTCTCATGCTGTTCTCTTTGCCAGTATATCTTTACCTACCTTCCACACACGGGAAATTCTTACTTATTCAGGTACAAGCTCACTTTCTCTGGAAACCCTGACCACAGCATACTTCTCTACACCACCAAGCTCACACATCATTGCAACAAGCACTCAGGAGATATTTAACTGAATATTAATGAAACTAAGCAAACTAATGACAAAGCAGCTGATAATTTATATACATAAAACCACTGAGAAGGGAAACTAATGAATTTTAGTAAGTCTTTTTGGAGAAAATGTCTTAACCTGGGGAATCCAAGGAGTAATTGTTTAGATTGTTGAAGAGGGGAAATAAAAGTATTTGAATGAGTAAAACAGAGATGGAAATGAATACACTCACAGGAGGCTAAGAAGACATGTATTGCAAGGTTTGGAGGGGCAGTAAACAGCAAATATAAATTAACAAATGTAGCTATCCTTCTAAAGAGGCTTAGATACTACAACCACTGATTCACCAAAGACCTTCAAACATTTTTTTCTGAAACCATGTGGCATGGCAAAGTTGACATTTAGGTACTACCCTCTACCTCCATTAGAGATTCATTAGAGAAATGTTTTCATCTTTTAGTCACTTCCCTGCATTCTTCAGGCATAAGAAGGTCTCCCCACTTTAATTTAGCACTTACTGATGAACTTTACATAAAATTCTCAAATTATAACACATCTCTATATTGCATAATAGTTTATTGAAATTGAAATAAGTTAACATAAGACTCTCTTTCAAAAAGGTCAAAGGCTGGTTAATCTTATAACACAGTCTTTAATACTAGAATATCAGGTTGCTTCGCATTAGCAGGGAAAGTGAAAATATAATATGCTTGATGTTCAACTCACAGAGGATTTCAGCTGCAAATATTTTGCTTTCTAAATGCCATATAATTAAAAAGCATCCATCCTTAAACTTAGATATATGGCCTGGTGCAGTGGCTCATGCCTGTAATCCCAGCACTTTGGTAGGCTGAGGCAGGCGGATCACCTGGGGTTACAAGTTTGAGACCAGCCTGGTCAATATGGTGAAACCCCGTCTCTGCTAAACATACAAAAATCTGGGCATGGTGGCCGGCTCCTGTAATCCCAGCTACTCAGGAGGCTGAGGCAGAAGAATTCCTTGAACCCAGGAGGTGGAGGTTACAGTGAACCAAGATGGTGCCACTGCATTCCAGCCTGGGCGACAGAGTCAGACTCCGTCTCAAAAAGGAAAAAAAAACAAACAAACCCCACTTTAATACAGAAGTCATAGTGCAGAAGAATAAATCTTTGAGGTATATCCATGTGAAGAGTGAATATTACGGTCATCTACCAAAATAAGGAGGAAAAGATGCTATCACAATTACTTTTTTTTTTTTTTTGGACGAAGTCTCATTCTTTTGCCCAGGCTGAAGTGCAGTGGCATAATTCAGCTCACTGCAAACTCTGCCTCCCAGGCTCAAGTGATTCTCCTGCCTCAGCTTCCCAAGTAGCTGGGATTACAGGAATCCAGTATCATGCCCAGCTAATTTTGCTTTGTTTTTTTGAGATAGAGTCTCACTCTGTCACCCAGGCTGGGGTGTAGTCCACGATCTTAGCTCACTGCAGCCTCCATTTCCCAGGTTCAAGCGAGTCTCCTACCTCAGCCTCCAGAGTAGCTAGGATTACAGGTGATCACCACCATGCCCAGCTAATTTTTGTATTTTTAGAAGAGATGGAGTTTCACCATGTTGGCCAGACTGGTCTCGAACTCCTGAACTCAAGTGATCCACCCCGCCTTGGCCTCCTAGAGTGTTGGAATTACAGGCATGAGCCACCGCACCTGGCTAATTTTATATTTTTAGTAGAGATGGGGTTTCACTATGTTGGCCAGGCCAGTCTCTAACTCCTTACCTCAAGTGATCTAACCGCCTCAGCCTCCCAAAGTGCTGAGATTACAGGCATAAGCCACCTTGTCTAGCTTTTTTTTTTTTTGAGACAGAGTCTTGCTTAGTTGCTCAGGCTGGAGTGCAGTGCTGTGATCTTTTTTTGAGACAGAGTCTCGCTTAGTTTCCCAGGCTAGAGTGCAGTGGTGTGACCATCGATCACTGACTGCAGCCCTCACCTCCCAGGCTCAACCAATCCTACCACCTCAGCCTCTCTGGTAGCTAGTACCACAGGTACATATCACCATGCCAGACTAATTTTTTCTATTTTTTTTGTAGAGATAGTGTCTTGTTACCCAGGCTGGATAACTACTCTTAATAACATGAAATTTGCTGTTTGTGGTAAAGACAGAAAGCATTCACCTTAATACCTTAGTTAGAAGACCACAGAATCAGTCAGAAGATCAGGTAAGAAACATAAACAGCACAAACAAATCAGCCGCTTCGAACTGAAGAATCTCTAAATGTAGGTCTGTATCACTTTTATTTAAGCATTTAACTAAACAGCCCTACAGGACAATAACCAAGGCACATCTTCTATACCAAGGACGAAGGTGATTAGAAAACAGATACACGCTAACAAGCACAGAATCTCTTTGGAGTGTAATAGGCAGTGCATGGG